TCCCACTAGGCAGACTACAAAACTTCCTTGTAGTATATCTGTAGGCCTATATACTCCCTATTTCCCACTAGCCAGACTACAAAACTTCCTTGTAGTATATCTGTAGGTCTATATACTCCCCACTTCCCACTAGGCAGACTACAAAACTTCCTTGTAGTATATCTGTAGGCCTATATACTCCCCATTTCCCACTAGGCAGACTACAAAACTTCCTTGTAGTGTATCTGTTATGAAACGGTAGGCCTGTGTACTCAGTATTTCCCGTGACTAGGACACGAAAACAATCTTTCTGAAAAATTGACAATGTTTTTTGCTAGTATCGAAGAGGAAAACCTTTTCAACTGACAATTTCTTGAGACTAAAATATAAAAAATAACAATAGAAAATAAATCGTCACACGTTAGGATCTTCGTAAGACGTTTCAGTTCGGCAAATCGAATTACTTCTTACGAATTGTTTTTTTTAATAAACAGAAAATAAACGCTGGGTTACAAGCATACCTTTAAAATATGCACTCGTGAAACTTAAACAGATATCACCCAGTTGACGAGAGGTGCAAGCCGTTTTATGATTATTTTGCTGAACGTGTAATTCGACTTTACGTCAAAGTGGAAGGAAGTAATCGTGATGATTGCGACGTTTGTAAAACACACACTTTAACAATAGAACACAATTATCGTCGCGTAATGAAAGCATTCGAAACAAGTGACACTTTGTTTAACTAACAATCCCTTTTCATAATTAATTAGACCACAGTTAGATTTTGTTACTCAAACTTTAGCTGTACTTCTTATAAGGAAGAAACCTTTTAGAAAATTGATTTCTTGATGTGCACTTGTCTGCAAACAACCAACAAAACTTGAAGTTAATGAATTTGTCTAAGGTTGATACTCTCGCAATCCGAGGCCTATCAATCATCATTCATTGTATGTTGTTGTTGTTGCTGTTAAGTAAAAAGGTGTACAATGGGCTATCTTTGCAGTGTCCACCGCGGGGACATATTCCGGAATGTAAGCGTTATAATCTCTACAGCTTATCGCTGCATTACCGGAGGCTATCATCATACAGAAAATTTAGCATACGTTTACAGTTACACAGAATTATGGGATCTCGTATAAAGTTCAACTGTTATCTTACCCACTATCAACTCAATCCTTTACCTCTAACTTTTGAACGTTGCTGTGAAACGTCTTGAAAAAGGTATAACTACTCGGAGATAATTTATTCTGATTCATAAACTAAAGTCATTCATATTGCGTGTCATCGTGAAATTTTATGGTGTTTTTTTTTCTTCTTAACCAATGAAAATTGTTAGATCATTGTTGGATATTTCTGTTTCGAAACTTTAACAAACCGAAATAATTCTTTGTTAAATTAATTGGTAACGCTTTTCACAGGAGCCCAAGAGTATGGTGAAGCTGCAGCCTACATCCAAGCTCAGTTTGAGGCCAAAAACAAGTCAACTAACAAGGAAATCTACTGTCACATGACCTGTGCTACAGACACAACCAACATCCAATTCGTGTTTGACGCAGTCACTGACGTCATTATCGCCAACAACCTGCGAGGTTGTGGGTTATACTGAAACCACAAGTGTCTGTCTGTCTGCTGCTGACACTACACTGTTGGTCGAAAATTTCAGTTTCTGGTTGAGCACGTGATGTATTTTATTGGGTTTTTTTTTTCGCTACAATCGCCAATCGTCTCTGGTTTCCTGTCGTGTTGCTACGCAATACAAAGGATGTAACTTTTGTGTGATGTTAGGTGTGTATCATCACATAATTTATGGGTTATTTGCTGTAACATCATCTATTTTGGTGTCACTTGGTTACTTTTATCTACCAAATTTAAAACTAGAGAAGACAGTTGTCAGAGCGTAGGGTCAGCCCTTAAAGAAACGATAAGGGGAAACAAAAAAGTTCCATTTTAGACTTAAAGCCCCAAGTCTAAAATGTGCGTTTTTGTTAGTCAGAGTTTTTATTTGGTTGATGAATATAATTATAGCAAAATATTAAACGTTTCTCTGAAATACGTCGCAGGAAAGCACCAGAATGTTTCGCAAAAGCTTGTGAAAAAGTTGTCTTGGAACTCTTCTTGTAACCTGTTTTAACATATATAAATAAGGACTCTGTCAGCACTAAATATTCCCAATCAAATATAAACATGTGGTCGTCGCTTGGAACAGAATACAACACTTGAAGAGATTATATTAACTTATTATTAGCTGAATCATTAAGTTAGACTCAATAATTTACACAAAGTAAATGTAATGGAGAAACAGTAACTAATGAATGGGGAGTTTATATTTCTTCATTAGTATTTATTTTTAATATCACTAAGTTATATATGAGAACCTTCTCACTCGTAGTCAGTTCGTTCAAATTTAAAGATCGTATGTGGACAAACGCGTGTTAGCTAGGATTTTCTCCCCGTTTAAAAATGAAGGGAAAATGTCCAGTTAATAAGCATGAGATCTGTGCCATCAACACCTAGAATATCTTGTGTGTCAAGATGCTTTGATTTAGAAGATTATTACGTGCTATTACAGAATTGAGGAAAAACAAGACAATTGTACGTTTCACAAGTACATCATTTCTTCACGACCATAGTTTCGCCAGTAAAGGCATCAATCCCAAAAAATCAGATTTCTTTAGGTACGTTTTGGGAAATAAATATCACCAGAGATAAACTTCTATCGTTCTTGTTGTTGTTAGCTCCAACTTTAAATTACTGGCTGCTCTTCGCTACGCCCATTTTCTGAGTAAGAATCTCAGGATTCAACAGAAACTAAAAAAAAAAGATCGGTGTGATTGCTAAAGTGAATGACATATACAGCTGGCATCCAATGAAGTTGAACAATTTATTCTGTAATCGTTAAGAGAACGTGTTGTGTCAAGGTGATGAAGGTTAAACACTCCTTGGTATGTAAAACTTTTATGAGGTCGTGTTACACTAAGAAAATTAAGGATGGAATTGCATAAAGATAATTCAATCAACTGAACCTAAGTCTGCAACCAGTATCATCGTTCTACATAAATAGGATAGAAAGTGCTGGACATCTTTCCCTTTAATAATTCACCATTTGTTTAGTGATAAACTTTGAAAAAGTATCTAATAGTACACTTTATCATATCTACTGTAATAGTGAAACAATTTTCGTTGGGTTTCTTTAATCTATAACCTACTTTTCCTGGTTAGGAAATTAATAGCTACGTAAAATAGAAAAAAAAAAACTTTTGATGTTCAAACGTTCTCCTTTTGTATATGTATAGTGCAGAGGTCATAGGTCACGACCTACTTTGTTAGACTACTGGCTTTATCTGTATTGTTGAATAAAAGCTTCTAAAAGTTGCCGAGTCATTTTTATCATCATTAAACTTTTAATTTTCAGTAAAACTAGTAATTCGCGGCCCTTCCTTCACTCGTTATCTATCTTAGATTTTAAACTCTAAAGTTATAATGTTGAATCCATTTTTGGTTTTGTTTGTTTGGAATTTTGCTCAAAGCTACGCGAGGGCTATCTTCGTTAGCCGTCTCTAAGTTAGCAGTGAAAAACTAGAGCAGTGATCTAAACGCGGGAGGGCAATTTGAAAATGCTACAATAAGAAAAATTTTACATTATATTATTATACCTTTTCAACACCAAATTTGTTTTTATATTAAGGGGGCATCACAGTTTTTGAGGTGAGGCATGGAGCAAAAAAGGCTAAGAACTACTGGACTACAGGGCCAACTCTTGGGCTACTCTTTTACCAACGAATAGTGGGATTGACAGTCACATTTTAACTCCGCCTCGGCTTAAAGGGCGAGCATATTTGGTGGGACGAGGATTCGAACCCATGAACCTCGGATTGCAAGTCCAGCGTCTTAACCGCCCGGCCATGCCAGACCCGGAGCCATTTTATGGGCTTCCTTTGGTGACTTAAAATGTTGTTAAGGGCGATTATATAAAGTTTATTGGATACTGACATCACACATTTTAAGGGACGGGCAGTTAGTGATACTGCAAGATGAAACTGTTGGTTTTCATGTTTTTTTTTGTGTTCAATTCTATTATTCCTCTAGTGTTAGTTTCATAAATAGTGTTGGTTAAATGTTTGGATATCGTGTTTATTTTTTACTTTATATTTTTTATTGTAATGATTACATTTTGAACTTATTATATGAATCTAGGACTAACCTATGTCTCTTACCGAACCACCTGAAATATTATTTGAATTACGTCCCAAAACATCGCTAACAGCGCGGATACCCAAATACTGAAGTAAGAAATAACAATCATATCTAGTACTTTGAATCTAATAATGGAACTCACTGTCACTTTTATGAATTTAATGAAAATGCGGAACATATATAATAGCATCACTTTTTGAACCACGATACTTCGTTTCGCGGTTCGATACCTACAAACACGAGGCTACGCCCAGTACTTGTTTATTGTTATCAGCATATATGTTGTCTACTCAAATTAAGAAAGTGGCTTTTTTTTATATTCTTATTAGAAGCCAACCAAGTTGTACAGGTAACTTCAGCAGACTAATTATTCTAATCAAATGCTTACAGCAGGGGTTTGACCTCGATTTTTTTAAAATCTAACGTTAACTGTTACCTAATGAAACAACATGACTAAGAAAATTCTTATCCTATCCATATAGCCAAAGATTTTGAAGTAGGGGTTTATAAGAACGAACTTCCTGGGTCTGGCATGGCCTGGTAGTTAGGACGCTCGACTCATAATATCTGGATCGCAGGTTCGAGTCCTCATCACCGAACATGCTCGCCCTTTATGGTCGTTGTCATGGTAAAACTTCTTGACTGATGGGATTAAGATCGAGTGGAGAAGAAGGAAGTGCCTATTTTTCCGGCTGGCCTGAAAACTACATTATGCCATATTTGTCCGTCAAGAGTACTGCGCATGCGTCATACCGATATCACCAACAGCATCCACGCTAAGTTTCTGACGATGGCGAACCTCCTAACTGCAGTTGAAAATGGGCAATATCTTGAAGTGAAGAATATAAATAGTGAACACATACATTGGATATTAGAGGGTGTTTTTTAATGAGCAAGAAGAATTCAGAAGAATTAAACACTGTAAATATGGCAAATTGTTTTAATTTTACATTTATTCCAAACTGAAATTATCTTTCAACCTATACGAGATATCTATACAAAAAAATCTTATAAATTTACAAGACAGTTATAAACATGTAAACTTATAGGAGATATAATATTAATTTTCTAAGGTGCTTTCTATAATGAATAAATATAATATTGCTTGTCATAGCGGGACAGTAAAATGGTTTAGAATTGAATCAAAGTTCATATAGCAAACCCAAATTTGGATTATCTTATAATCAAAAAACCAAATTCATTAAGGTAGTAGTAATACAATGAAACATTTGTAAGCAAACAATGTGATACAACTTCATGCAAACAATGTGATACAACTTCATGCAAACAATGTGATACAACTTCATGCAAACAATGTGATACAACTTCATGCAAACAATGTGATACAACTTCATTAACAAGGAAGATAAAATCGACAATGTAGAATGATTATATTTTAGAATGTATCAGAATTAAAATATGCCACAGTCATGTTATAAATAGTAGATTAATGTATTACCTTGCAAACGTGTCACTGTATGTTTGATATTTCACCTGAAACTTACCTGCAAAACTTACAGGCTAGAAACATATATATATATATAACTTACAATGCTGTTTTTAAGCTGTTAATGTAGAGTTATGTTAATCATTCCGTTGCTGTGGAATATGTTTAAATGTAATTTGACAAAATAAACTAAATGCAATACCAACACACTATATTTTTTTATGATAAAGTAAACTTTGTGAGAAGAAAAAGCCTTTTGCTGCTGAAGAAGTGAACAGTTTTTTTTTTCAAACGTTTGCCAGGCAAAGAAGGCCACCACCAGGCAGAGTAAAAAATGGTCAATCATCTGGAAGAAAAAATGTCATCTTCGAACACTGAAAAAAAAAACAAGTGACCTAGACAAACTTCTTAAAAACCTGATAAACTATTAAAACAAGTTATATTCCCTTTTTTTTGTCTCGCTTGCATATTATGATCGATACATAACTGACCATTTTGACTCGCCTGTCACTGAAGGCGAGACATGGCATTCTTACTTTCTGTCATATTCCTAATCGTTGTATGTGGTTTGCCTTATCAGTATTTTATGAAAGCATTCTTATGAAGTTTTTAACTTATTGGACCTAAAGTGACATGTGAGTTGTTGTTATCACTGTGTCCTCGTTTTTAAATGTGCATAAACCCTTCACATCTTGGTTTTATTGTCCACAAGGTCAAATTGAGTGAAACCAGTAAATAGTTATCGAGGCACCTGCGAGAGGGCGCCACAACTAGATGTTCCTTGGATGGTTCTCTTTCACATTTTGTTTCTTACGATCACCATGAAAGTTTTCCAGATGCCACCTATAAGCTTACCAATTTAAAGAATGCCATTATATTTTGTCTTTTGTAGAAGACAGTCTTCATAAAAGTGAAATTGTTGGAATGAACTTAATTAATTCAGAAGACGAATCTATCTGTGAGAAATTCGCAAAGGTTTTTATGAAGCACAGTCCTTGTTATTTCACCACAAAAGTCATAATGTCTAATGAAAACTTTGTAGAATGGTAAACATTCTTCAATTAATTTAGCGAGGGAGTTTGACGTCGACCTCTGAATCTTGTCTCGTAGATGGTTTGTTTATTTGTTTTGAATTTCGCGCAAGGCTACACAAGGG